TCCTTCCTCAGCTGTGGTACTCTGTGCTAGGGATGGGCACAGGGTTTATCCTGTGCTCGGCTCTGGTTTTATTGTCCTTTCTTCCACAGAAGATTGGTGCCTGCTTTGCTCTGCCCTTTACCAGGGTCCTGGTTTCTTCCTGGCACTGTGTGTGTGTCGGCGGATTAATTGGCTGGTCTTGGCACTGGCCACACCGGCCAGGTGACCATGTCTATGTGGAGATGCTGGTTTTGCTATCCCTGCAGCTGTTTTTGCGAGGCCTCTGCCTCATTTGCATTTTTTCAGGTTAAAAACAGTAATTTTGTCCTTTTGAGTCATCTTTATTTTTGAGCCATCATTAATTTCCTCTCCCTCCTCACTTATTAATAGACCTTTTCACTTTTGTGCTGATTCTGCCCGGGTATATTTGTGAAGTCCTTTGTATTCCCCTTAGTCTTCTGGCTGTTAACTCCTTCTGCTGGTTTGTTGTCCCTTTTTCCCCCTGCAGCTGTGAGGGGACACTATCGACTTACAAATCCCCCTCCTGTCTGAAACATCACCCTTCTCTTGTTCCAGGTATCTCCTAAGAGCATCGCAAGTGAAAGGCATGATTGAAATCTCTCTTTTCCCAGCGCCTTTGATGCCTTCGCTGCTTACTCCTTGCATAGCCAGCGTTTGCTCTGGCTGCTGTAGAGCATCTTTCTCCCAGCAGCAGGAGACAGCGACGTCTTAAAGCCCACGGGGCTGCGGGCAGGGGTCGGACGGGATGTGGCTCTATGCTCCTTGAAGAGCTTTGCTTTGCCTCGTGCCGGTGGCTCTGTGTTCTTGCCTTCACTCTGCCTCTCCCTGCCAAGTATCTGGGTCCTTTCCTGGCCCTATTGCCTGCTGTGTGAGCCAGACGGGCAGGGCTGGAGCTCTGCTCGGAGCAGGAGAGGTGCAGGGTAGCCAAATCCTCTGACAATCCTTACCTGGGCTGCCAGGCGCCAGCGTTGTGCCGTCAGCGAGTGTGCTGTGGCGCGTGCCTGGCATGGGATGAGCCCCGCCAGCAGTGGATTCCCCAGTGGGGCTGTTTAGAATCTCCTTGTACCTGGCTTTTTAGTAGTCTTGTTATTATATTCATTTTTTTCCCCTCCAAAGAGCCCAATCTGCGGCAGGCTGTAAAGAATGACATTGCAGGTGTGCAAGCTGTGTGCCGAGGCTGCGTGCAGTCCCCAAAGGCTCCTGGTCCCCCCGGTGCTGCCATCCCTGTTCACTGTCAAGGCTTTAAGGTTATCTGCTCTATCGACGGGAGTATGGATTGAGTGGAATTAGAAACCTCGAAGGCTAAAAATACAGCTCCCTGCCAGGAAATGCGGCAGCCTGCTGGGAGGGCACTGGGTGGCACCGAAACTTTTCCAGGAACTGGCGTGTTCCATGTGAGCCCTGCAGCCCAGCATCCATCCCTGTCCCTGGGTTCCCCAAGCAGGGCTGTGCACAGCATCTCTGCCCACAGCGGGAGAAGGTGGCGGGAGCCCTGGCTTTGCTGTCGGAACTGTGCTGTAGATGTCTTCACCCACCAGGCAGGGCTGCAGATGATGGAGGAATTTGGTCATGTGCTGTGCAGCGTGAAGTAGGTTCTGTGATGTGGTCAGCCCTAATCTCGCTGTTGTTCAGGGGGTCCTTCCATGGGCAGGAGAGGGAGAGAAATCTTGGAGAAAACACTGCCTGTCTGTGCTGCAGACGGTCTCTTGAGGAGAAACACACATCGCCCAGGCAGCTGCTCTGAGACCCTACAAACTCACACTGTGAGCACAAGCTCCCCATGAGCAACATGTTCCTGGGGATGGTGTGAGGGGAGCCTGTGCCTGTGGGAGCTCCGGACACCTCCTGGCTGATGCTCCAGCATCATCCTGGCCACGCCGGGCTGTGTTGCGCTGGGCTGATGGGTGTTACGTGCCAGGCAGCTGGACAGCACTCCCACCACCACTTTCACCATGGTACCGTGGCATGCCCATCTGGGGCTGCCTTTCCCTGCTTGGTGCCACAATGCTGAGCTGTTTTGCTACCTGGCTTCCAAAAGCAGGGCAGCACCCAGGGCAGCATGGTCCCTTTTGGGGGTGCGCTGCCCATCACCGCCTGGCTTTGCGGAGTGAGTTTGACTGCAGAGTGTGGAAGCGGCAGGGTTGGTCTGCCCAGCGTAGTGTGAATGAGACCTGAAGCCAGGGCCGTTGCTCTGCCTCCTGGAGCGTGAAATCGGTCGGTGCCGGCGCGTGGCCGTGGCATCGATGAAGTGTGTAATAGACTGGGGGCAGAAGCTGTGCTGCCCTGTGGAGAAAAAACAAAGTGCTGCAGCATCCCTGCCAGCGTGGGCCAGCCACCACCTTGCCATCCTTCTCCCCAGGCTGTGGGAAGGGGCTCCTCCCCAGCAGCATGCAGCAGGCAGAGGCAAAGCTGTGCGGGGAGAGGATGCTCCCAACACCAGCCGTCTGGCTGATGCTGCACCATCTGCTTTGGAGGGTGAGGCAAGGTGAACAGCAAGCTTTCGAGGAGCCCATAAATCCTGTGTGTGAAGGCTCTTCTTGGAGGTGACTTGGTGTGTGGAGCAGTGCTGCTCCTGGCTGCTTGCTGTGCTGGAAGTTCTCAGGCAGTAGAGACTGGGGGAATCAGTGATCCTCCCCAAGGCGTTCAGTGATGTCCCACGGGCTGAGACTCTGGGCTTGGCTGGGAAAAGTCCTTTAGCAGAATGTACTTCGGTGCAGTTGGAAGATCTGTGTGGCTGGAAATGGTGGTGCCGGAGGGGCTCCTGGTGCCCCCTCCCTTCCAGCACTTGGGCTGCTGCTTGGTGAGAAAATGTATAATGCCTCGGTGTTGAAAAATGACTAATCCAGACCTTGGAGAGTTTGTAGGATACATTCCTTTCTCACGGTCGATAAAGATAAAGGGGATTGTTCTGCCAGCAAAATTAGTGTATCAAAGAGAGGGAAAAAATGACAAAAGCTGTGGAGACAGAAAAATGGTTGGGGCAGCCCTGGGACGATGCCTGTGCCTGTGCCTCATGTTGCAGAGGAGGGCAGGAGCGTGGGGCACAGGCACCACAGTGATGCTGGGGAGCACTGCCCTGCCTGGGCTTGCTGGTGGTTTCCAGAGAGTTGTCAGAGACCCATCCATCATACTGAGGTGGCTGTCTGTCCATCCATCCATCAGGAGGAGGGGATGATGCCGTGTGGCACGGGCAGTCCCGGCCACTTTCCAGCCAGCGGTTGGCCTCCCCTCGCCTTCCGGGCACCGCTGCTGGCTGTCAGCAGGGGACCGCGGGGAACGTTCGCGCCTCGGTCAGGGGCTGCGTGGAAGGGAGGCTAATGTACCGGAGGTGCCTCGGAAATGAGAGCCTTGGATGGGTTCCTGGCCCTATTGATCCGCCGGCATTTTATGCATCCTGACATTCATAATCTCGGTTGGTGCTGATGGTCCAGATTAATGGGCCCGGGGGCTGTCCATCCGTCACTTCACATTAATTACTGAAGAGGTGTTTTTCCAGTGATTTACCTGACAGTGGCCCGTGATGAATCCCCCTAAACGGAGTGGGCAGTGATTAATCATGGGGCCCCAGCCCAGCCCCACTCTGCTTTCCCCTTAACCACAGCACAGCCCCCCACGCCATCCGTCTCCATAAACCCTGCCTGATGCATATTTATAGGGACAGGGGGGCCTGGCAGCTCACGGTGTGCCTGCTGCTGCCAAAGATGATGAAAAATAAATCTCTGCCGGGACGGGGCAGCAGGTGAGCAGGTCTGTGGCATGCTGGGGTGGCAGCCATGGTCCAGTGCCAGGGTGTCCCTGGGCTGGGGTTTGGTTTCTGGTGCTCCGCAGCTGTCGCGGGCTTCTCTGCGCTTTTTTGATGCATGAATGGTGCAAGGGTTTTGAGTCCTGCTTCGGCCGTGGCTGCTGGTCCCTGGGACTGGGGGGTCCCAAGCAGCAGCCATCGGAGCAGGGCAGGCACCTCGGTGATTCCCAGTACACCCCACCGAAGGTTCTGCAGCTGAGGGGTGCTCCAGGCACCAAACCCCATCTGCAGAGCTGCTTTCCCAAGGCAGTGTTGGGGCTCCACTGTCCATTGCTCTGTGTTGGCTGCTGCGGGAGCAAGGGTGGGTGCCAGGCTGGGACCCTGACCCACGGACCGCGGGCGCTGCCTGTGGTGTGCCCAGCTGTGGGGCCGCTGGGCCACAGGCAGGGCAGTGATGGTGTCTTTTCTTGTCAGGCAGAGGTGGCACCATGCAGCAGGAGGCAGAGGGAGGCCGGCCGCGCCAGAGGAAGCCCGACATGGCCCTCTATGTGCCCAAAGCGCGGCGGGAGAGAGAGGCACAAGCAGCGGGTGATATGCCAGCAGGGCACCACCGGGAGCCTGAGAACCATCGCCTGGGGCAGGACACTCACTGGGGCAGTGGCAGGGGGCAGAGGCAAAGCCCCCGTGTCAGGACACAGGCGGGAAGAGCAGCAAGGAGGGAGAGCAAAGTGGATGCCAGCCAAAAGGAGCCATGGGAAGCCTCTGCTGGGTGCTGCCAGAGTCAAGGAGCCAGCTGCAGCACTGCAC